ACAAGTGCTTTGTTTGCTTTCTAAAGTCAAAGTTTTTCTTTTCTTTCTATCTGCACATGCCCAAAATACACAGCTGAGTGTTGTTTATACGTTCTGCTTGTTCAGGCCTGAACAAGCAGAACGTATAAACAACACTCATTTGGTATTTTAGCATCCTGATCAGGATGCGAAAATACCAAATGATGAATACCATCATTTCAAATGAAAAAAATCCAAAAAAATTTCAAGTCAAAAAAAGTCAGTATTTTCGGTATCAGTATATACCGAAGTTCGGTATTTTCGGTATTCGGTATACCGATACCAGTGCATACCTAGTTTTTAACGACGAGTCCGAATTTATATTATTTGGTTTCAAAAAAATACGTTTTCGTCGAAAAAAGAGACAAAGACCTCAAGAAATCGAAGGTTTTTGTAAAATTCATATCTCCTCTTTGGAGATTTTGTGCAAACAGTATAGATGCTCCATACGTAGAAGAACAAACCTTAAAAGTTTCAGAGAAAATAAGTGATGGCTAAGGATGGCGCGTTCACTTTACTAAGAACGTCTGTTGGGACAATACTTAGCAAAGAAAGAATGCATTTTTCGTAGGAGAGAAAAGTCTTAGAAAACTAAAGTGTTTTCCATAAATAGATAGAGGAAGATCTCCTCTTTCAGAATATGATAAGTTCATTCCTACACTCTTCTTACTTTCGCCACTACCGGCTCTTTTTCTGAGAGATCGCTCAAATCTAGTTAAATCTTGGAAATGCTTTATCTCAGCAATGAAAAGAGTGAGAGAAAAACTTCTCAGATAAAAAAGATTTGTCTTTTCACCAAGAATATGCTCCGCTATTCAACGAATTAAAAAGCTCACTTACGTGTTTCCACCTAATGTCCACGTTGTTGTGCACTGTGTCAACAGCACAGGATGACAATGAAGAAGTGGTGTCAACATCTATACGATTGTGTCTTTCTGTTTTCGGTTCTTTTTTGTATCTGATAGAAATCAGTGAGTATCTGTGGTAGAATAAAATAAACAAAGAATTTCTCGATGGTGATCAGTTAATCGACTGAAGGGAAAGAGAGAGATTAGTCTCTTGTGTTACCATTAAATAACCACACACTTTTCACCGACATGGTGGAGTTCTGTTTCGCGCATAAGTGCTGTCGTTTTCTCTTTAAGTATAGGACGATTGCAATGTAATAGCACTGAGGAAACCAAAATAACAAGTTTTCGTTCAAAAGCCGACAATGTTCATTAGAAATCGATTAAGTAGGCCAACAGATTGATAACTAAAATACATCCGGGCTCTACACGGAAATAACCTGAAGAGATCAAGCACTCTCTTGAGGCTAGATATTAAAGCAATGTGGATTTCTCTGGAACGAGATATTTGAACCTTTTGCGAGCGAACCACGTCTTCCCTTTAATTTATAACCGTTATAAATCAGTTGGTTTTTTCCAAGTAAACACTTCACAATTTTTTATAATCCCTTTTATTGTTTCGTGAATAAACAAAGTTACATAAGGTAAAGTGTAAAAATAATGAAAACAGAAATCGAAAAAAGGAATACAAAAAAATGCATAGTAAATCAGCTGCTATAAACATTTTTGTACTGATGGCATATCGATCCTCTTTAACCCTTTCACTATCAATTTTATTTTCAAAAATTTAAAACACCGTACTTACATCTTGGTGTTTACAACTCGTTCTCATCGACTCGTTTACACTTCTCAGTGGGACTAATGCAAAATTCGATCACTTTTAAATAATAGAAAAATTTTACACAAAACAAAAATGAATTTTTCTGTAATTTGGTACAAATAACTATAGTAGTGTACTTACTTATATTATAATAGAGAATTTTAAAAAACTTAATTTTTTAAAATATTATTTTAAATTTTTTTTAAAAAATTTAAAAGTCTTATAAAAAATCTTTGGCTTATTAAATTATTAAAGTAAAATATTTTTTATAATATATGACTGTGGCTCTATAAAGTTATGATTGCGGAGAGCAAAATTTTTTTCTATTAGTAGAGAAAATAATAAAATAAAATAAATTCATCAGATTCATTAAATCAAATTTACTACTATTCGTTACGAAATACAATGCCCGCGACTATTTTTTAAGTATCTCGGTAACTGAATGCGGTAGAGAGTTCGGGTTTTCACTATTCAAAAGAAGAGACTTTGAGGCACAGTTTTATAATAGATATTAATTCGAAAATTTTTTTTTAAAGTAGGTTTTTAGAGAGATCTTTGGAAAGCCAACTCATAACTCAAAATCTTCAAGTACAAATACTTTCGTTTTCCTTCATGGACGGATAACCAAAGTGTCTCCTTTAAGATGGAAGCCAAGCGAGATCTTGGTTTTCACTGGTTCGGGCGTGGAATCGGATTTCCCTGAAACCTTCGAACTGGTATCCAGTGATTCCAGGTAACCTTGAAATCGGATGGAACATACGTAATCGACTACGCTGGATCGGATGGCAATGTTTATTTTGCGAACAGAATTCACAAATGCAGCGAAAACGGAGTTTTATCAAAATTGAGGTGTTTAGACTGTTTTCACTTAATATAGAACAATATTGGAATAACAATATTGGAATAACAATATTGGAATAACAATATCGGAATAACAATATTGGAATATTGTTCATAAACAGCATAAATTATAAGTAATCGACTATCGTTTAGATACATCTGCCAGTTGTGTTTTTTTCTCGTATATAGGCTTCTTATCGCACAAATACCGCTTATATCTGAGAATTTTTATCTTTTCGATAGATACGGCCACAATCAGCTTATTTTCATGTGAAGAAAATCGATCACCTGGCAGTTGTCAGTGACTTTGTCGATGACTGTCATCGATACCCTTTGAAGATCATCAGAGGGTTTTGATAATATGCCCATTGGAGAGGCCGTAGCGGGCTATTTTTGCAAGTATTTTGTTGGAGTTTCATATTTCAATAAATCCTGAAAGTTTTTCTGGAGATCTCTCCGAGAACCTTCGGTGGCCCCTGAAGGCCCTCTGAAGATCTCGCGAATATACCCACTGGATGCACCATAGTTGATTACCTATGAATCCACTTTTTCTGCGCATAATCTTTCGCGCTTTATAGCAAACTACAAATTGGATTAAAATTCGAAGGAACAAGGTCTCTTAGTTGGTCTAAATAAAAAAGACAGAGCAACTTTTTTTTAATTTCTCATCGTAACTTTGGACTACTACAATAGTAATATATGAAGCTAAATTTTGAAAGAAATTCATGTTGTATATCAAAAGTTGTAAGTAGTCCCACTGAGAAGTGTAAACGAGTCATGCAAAACAACATTGTACTGCGATGATTATATGTCATCGCGAAGACTGTCTACCGAAGACTCAATCTGTTTATCAGGTAATGAAAGTATATACATTGTATCTAATAGCACAATATTTGATCATGCCATCGATCAACAAAATTTCAGCATGTACAAAAGCAATTTGTCAACATTAATTAATCCAAAACGTCTGCATAATTTGTTCTTAGAAATGAATGAGACACGGAATCAGGCTCAACAATCATACAAAAATGCTTTAAAAGTGAGATTATTCAACTTAGAAATGAATTCTGGTGATGCTGTCAAGTGGAGTTTATTGTTTACAGTTACACTTGTATTAATTATAACAATTGGAATGATAATTTTTATCCGAAAAGCAATCGGTTGTATACCAAAAATCACATCATAAACAACATAAATATCCTTGAACACAATTTCAATAATCGTATAACATTTTACACAAGCTTGTCTATCGTTACAGTTATACTATAATGTAGTATCTGTCTAGCCTTTACTTGTTTATAAATTGATGTCGCATAATTTTTAGTTTTAAGCACAAGAAAATGAAATAGGTATAGTGCAGAAAATTTTTCATATTATACAAGAGTTGTATCACTACAACAAAATGGCGTCAGTCTACGAAGTTCATGATGCTCATATAAACGTAAAAGCAAGCAGTTCATTCATTTTATTCCAGTAGAAAAGAATCAGAAATATAAGTCATGGTATCTGACGAAATCAGGTTTAACAAAAATAGTAGAAAATTACAGGACTATTTCAAAGGAGCACATATATATTGATCGACAAAAACAAAGACAACACAAATATTTTCAAATTTCTTCCTCTATGTCTTTTTAGGATGGTGAACGTACAAAAGATGAAATGTGTTCACATGTGTTTCCTTGTTATCCAAGAATAAAAAATGTTTATAATTGTCTAACAGAAATTGTTCGCAGCAATTGGCCTGCAATGTATATGAAACTGATCCAGTGTACGTAGTTTTTGCCTTTTTTTCTATTCTAGTTCAGTGTTCTTCATTCACTCTTTGTAGATTAAATGAAATAGACTTTAATTGGAATATACATAAACAATGGCTTCTAGATATAAAACGGACAGCAGATTTAGCAACTAAATGGCAAATATTCTATAATAATGCTAAACGTACAATGGTTACTGACACAGAAGGATATGTTAAACTTGAAACGATTAATATACCAGGTTATAAAGATTTGGACCCCGTTGAGTGCATAAATTCAAATAAGAGTTAAACTTCAACAAAAAC